CAGCACAACAGATGGGGTGTTATCTTCCTAACTATGCCCAGAACAAGTCACTTGATCCATGTAAGAGAATGACACTTTCCTGCAGCTCCCGGCTGGATGAATGGATTAAGCCATTTTACAAAGCTTAATGCCAATGGCTCATGCAGGGTAATACTAGAGATTTTATAAGGTAAGCCAGGTGTGGAGACCTTCCTAACATCACATAATGACCTTAAAGGAGCCTACCTAAGAAATGCAGGCTATTTGCAATTTTCATAATAATCTTTTCGGTGAACAAATATTGCATGTGTTAGTATTTCATTAGTGCAGTTGGATAGCTATTTATTAAATCGCGAACAGAAATTTCCATCAACATAGGATTTGAAAGAGAAAATTACACTGAGATCAACAAGGAGGAGGGAAGAAATGCTGGAATATCGCCAGTAAAGCCATTGTGGCTGAGGTTCCTACATATCACAAACAAAAGACAGCAATGCATTGAAATTAGAGTTACAGTAAATCAATAGAATCCAACACTAAAAACCAAAAGGAATGGCGCTTTAACCATACAGGGCTATTAGGTAGGTCAGCTTAGTGATACTTGAAGGAACTGGCCCTTTAAGAATGCTATTTTGATCAGACCCTCTACTGATGCCAGAAGAAAGATCCCTGAAAGTTGTAATAATGAGCAAAGTTAAGCATGAAATACCTATAAGAAAGCAATAGTAATTATAATAGAACATTGAAATATAATGAATTATCAATTTTCCGTGAAATATGATACTTATCTACTTTTTACCTATTTTGCAATCAAAATTCATTTCAATTTATGTAACAAAATTAAAAAAATTTACCCATTTGAACTTACGGTTTTCTTTTTTTATACAAGAAGTTGTACAATTATGATCTTTAAACCCCAAAGCATCTCGCCTAACTGAAAACTAGTATAATTCAATACAAACACTAAGTTGTCATGATTCCATCCAAGCCATTTGCAGAACTTTTTCAAAAGCAAGGAAAATAAATAACTTACATTTTGGTAATGACAAGGTGACCATCAATGGCTGCACAAATTATACCATCCCAGGGAACTGGAAGACATGGGTCTCCGGACCAACCCTCCCAAACTTCATTTTGTGGGTTATTCTTCAACAACTCATTCTTCACCTCCAAAATCACTTCCACTGAAGAAATAATGTGTCATAAGACAAAAGAAATAGTGAAGGCTAGAAAACCCACTAATTATTATAAACACCCAATTGGAAACTAGAAATTCTAGTGACAAACAAAACTTACCATCACTTTGGTTAGTCTCTTGAACCCATGGAAGCACCTGCAAGATCTCATAAGCATTGCAAAGGGGTCCATTTTCAGACCCAGGAGCCTTAACCAGTGTCAAATTGAGAAACCCATTTGCTGTGACAGTGAAAGCAAGCTCCTTGTAGTTGGAGCCATTACCGGAGACATCAAATCTCGATTGTTTCAGCTCATTGTTGAGGTAAATATCAAACACCCTTTCCCCAGCTTGAACTGTCTGGTTGACCTCATAAAGGTAGAGGAACATAAGGTACTGGTAGCTTGTTGTGGAAAGGCCATTGCGAAGAATGACCAATTGGTCTGAAGCCACCAGAGCTGTTTGTAGGACTTGTGAATGCACGCTCACACTGGCGTTGCGGGAGATGAAGACATTGGTGGTTATAAGAGAGGTTCCACTTCCAAGGTCACTTGAATTTGAAGTCCAAATTCTGTCACTTGTGTCATTTGGGTACCTGAAAATTAACGACAAAGTAATAGGCCTGATATTAAATTTGTCTCGCTCTTTGGGCTGATTTCAATGGGCCTTTTGAAAGTGGAGTGGGCCCAATTGAGGCCCATAGAGGAGCCGGGTTCCACCAATTGATCCTTTTTTTAAAAAAAAACACTACAAGGAGACGGTTTCTCACACACACTACTAGTGTGTCACAGGGATTAGACCATGTTGACCCAATTCATTTTACTTTAGAAGTATCATACTACACCATTATTTTTCTTACGCCCATCACATGACATATTTCCTTTTTAAAGTGCTTTATGCTTCTAATAAAAGTGCGTGAAAATTTTATTATGAAGATAATGCTTCTTATAAAAACTCTCCCGATGGGTAACTAATGATGTTGTGCAAGAAGTTCATCTAAAATTTTGACCTTTTATCACATAGATGCATAAATTAATTTACTATTGAGAACGTGTGGTACAATGGGTGTCTTATAATGCTTGGTATGACACATTTGAATTGGATATAATAAAATTTCCTACACAATTTAATTTGTAAAATCATACGCATAATAAGTATAAAAAAAATCATAGATATTATATTTAAACAAGAAAAATTATACATTTGTGACATGAGAAGAGACAGAAAATTTGTGTAAGATTTCCACGTCCCATTATTCCTTTCATCACTATTACAATATTATTCATTCCAAGATGCATGTCAGCATCTCACAAGTCACATGCAACACAAAGTGAGAGCAAGACTGCATAGGGCAGTATAAGAAGTATAAATGCTAGTTTTTCTACTTTGGTTTGGCATAATTTGAAATTTTGAAGTACTCTCTCCTGTTAGATATGTGTAAACTAGCAAATTAATGTATGCTTTTGGATTTGGGTTATTGAGTTTTGGGGAGCCAATTTTTCATTTCATTCTTTTCTTATGGTCATAATCTATCTTAATTAGGCCATTTATGTTTCTAATTTTGATTCATTCCTTGGGTTTAAAGAAATCAAGTTCTAGAAAGCATACCTGATCTCCTCTTTTGAAGTTGCATATTTAACTCTTGCAACCAGTTTCAGAACACTTGAAGGGAAGTCTTGTAGATATTTTTTCAAGCCATGCAGAGGCCTCAACTCAAGCTCTGAAATATAAGGAGCTCCTCCCTTCCCATTCACCAAGCAGAAGTAGGTCAAGTCCTCAGTGGCTCTCAAAATTCCTTCAACCACTACTGAGTCCTCAGATGAATCTACTACACCAATTGGGGTCACTCCAACTGAAACTGAGAAGTTAAAGTGTGAGCCCCAAAGAGGTCCAAATAGAAATGTGCCCCTTATCAGATAGTCTTCACCCTTTGTTGTTGATAGCTTATAACATCTTCTCTGACCTGAGCCTTGGTTAAATACTCTGGTTCTGTTGTAACCAGAATTGTTTACCACTGCCTTAACTGAAGTGTGGCAGCCTCTGTTATTAGGGAACTGATTAAAGTCCGATATCCAGCTAATGCTTCTACTATCCTTATAATCCGATTCGGCGCAGCATGCAATGCTCACAAAGCTGCCTGCATAATACAGCAGAAATTAAATTAGATCTTGTTAAGAACAATCAAGATATAAGTGTAACCGAATTTTGAGAGCCCTAGTCTATCATCTCCCAAAAGGATCTCCCTTGACATAACGGTTAGGTGACTGATCTCCATGTTGAGATCAACCACTTTCAATGGTTTTGAATTTTAGTAGATTAGCAGACCATATATGAGACTTTTTTGTTGCAAAGTTACAAGAGATCATGACTCATTCTCTTTTCCCATATAATTTCTTGACCATATCATAAGGTTAGAAACTGAACCCCAAAGAGGCTCTAATCTGGATGAAACTTAATATAGTTAAAATTGATCTAGAATCATGTACAAAATCTGAAGAAAAAAAAATAATGCCTTATTTAATTTTGTTTCTTTATTAATTATGATCATAAGTTTCATTTACATGCTTACCTTCATCTGCAGAAGTAGGTCCAATAAGAAGGAAGAGGCAGAGGATGAAAAACTCTATTAGCCTTAAAACCCAATAATCTAATTCCTTCATCATCCTTTTATCTTAGGCCGAGGTCTCCCCATTTGGCTATCAAACACATAACCAAACCAACATATGTGACTTTTTTAAATTCCACCAACTACCAAAACAAAAACCCTTCTGAATTTCATGAAACTCAACCTCTTCCTGCCTTGTAATTCCTCACCTCATTCTACTTGACACAAAACCTTCAACTAATTTGCTCCAACAAATTAATTAGATGCAGTAATAGAAACAAAAGCATCTTGATCGTGACAAAAAAAATTCAAGCATGTGACAAAAGTACTATAGCTGGGTTCTTGGCACAGAAAATATGAATCTTGGAGCTTTAGAGACAAAAGAGCATCAAAGGGTCAGAAGAACGGGAGAGGGAAAGAGATCTGGGAATATGGTTTGACTTGTAATGTGGGGAGCAGTGCAGAACCGCAGAACAAGGAAGAAGAATGAGTGTTTCTGGATTAGAATAATACAATGTTTATTCACAATTAATTATTTAAAACATTTAATTATAGTTTTTCATCTAGTGGTGGATCAAGTTTATTATTAATTCTACAATTAACTAAAATAGTTTTTTTAATAACAAGGCGGAGCAACCCTTCGTCTCTCTCCTTGTCTGTTACCATGGACGCAACATCACAGAGGATCGGATATAACTCCTTGGGTATTAAGATTAGAGTAGGTCACGAGTTCAATTTTCTATCCTAATTTTTTTTCCATTTTCTCTCATACAATTTTTTTTTTCATAAAAAGGAGGACTAAAGTCGAGCACAAATATTATTCATCTACCACCCACCATTCAATAAAAATATTAACTGACATCTAGGGACTTGGGTAAAAAGGAGGACCCAAAAAAACATACCACCCCCTTGGTATTATTACTGAACACAAGGTTGGCTTGATTGTTGGTTTGTTCCACCAGCAAGCAGCTAGTGGGATAGGTTAGATTTAGAACTAGATTTTACCTTGTATTTTGTATTGAGACATTTTGTTTATTTATTGTTTTGGTTTGGTTTCTTCTAAAGAAATAAATAAATGGCACTCAAATTTCTATTACATCCTCTGAAGTGTCAAAACAGAGCCAAACTAAGAAGATGAAGGATGGCATGATGCCATAGTTCACTACTCGGCTTCTTTGTAAAACTAAGATCCTTCTCCCACATGAAGATGGCAACCCGAAATAAAGCTGTCACTAAAGTACTTCATAATTCCTCTGGTTTGGTATCCTCTGTTTGAGACTTCTGATCTGTGCTTCGTTCCAAATACTCCTCTTCAATAGTTTCCTTGAGGATGAACAGCCTTTGTATAACCACAGGCTGAGTCATCCGCTTGGCTTCCCTAATGTCAGTTTCTTCCGCATTTAGATGGTAGGCATCAAGCATGATCTTAATCCACTTGTGAAGCTCTTTGGGCGTACTGCTCAACCACAAAGTGGAAAATACAGGACATGTTACATTGCAAAAATGTAACAGATATTGCTATTGCCGAAAAAAATATCTGAAGAAACAAGGGGCTCTCTTACGTGTATACGGCTTTGGGGTCCTTGGCTTCAGGTCCATCACCAGGGGAGAAGGCTGTTGCCAATGCCGAGAATCTCTCTTCGGGATCTGTAATGTTCAGCAAATGCTTGAGTAGTTTTATTTCTTTTGGGGCAATGCTCCTAAGACTGCTTTTTGTGGCTTTGTACAAATGATACATTATGTCTTTGACCTGCATTAAGACATCAAATCTTCAGAATACAAGGAAGGGCAAGCATTTGAGCACATTAAGGCAAACATAATATTGCAGTAAAGACTATATAATGGCCGAAGCTTGGGTTAAAGAAGCCAGAGTTGCTTGATGCCCTAGTAGCTTCAAGAGAACACCAATAGAAGAATAAAATTATTTTGTAGGAGTTGTGACAGGACAAACGCAAGCATGTATACATGTCTTTAACGCTATTATTTTCATTTCTTCAAGTGCTTCTATGAAAAAGGTAGCATCTCAAGTCATTCTAAATTCAAATAATACTTGATAGTTCTCAGAGAAAACATTCAGGAGTATCTTACTGTAGCTTCTGTAATGACATACACATTAGTACCTCAGAAATAATTGAATAAATCCATTGCTTGGTTTTTTCTTTAAGCAATTTCTAACCATTCTAAGAATAACTGCTAATTTATCCTTACCATGTGCATCTGTGACACATTGATGGGTTATGAAAAATATCCTGTAATCCAACATAAGCTCATCAATACAAGGTTGTTGACCATACCTCATTCTTCATCGTTGTGGACTCCTTTGCAGAAGCCCAAGCACTGTTTATCAATAATACCAACGAAGAATCAAGCTCCTTTGCCTTGGCAAGGCTTTTAATCTTCTCACATGCTACGTCAACTGAAGGAGAATTTAGGATGTCATCAAATTTGGCCTGAGCAGTATCTAATGTCTCCACATATTCCAGCGTGTTATCATAAGCACTGACGGCAGACAAGCATCTAGCACCCAGCCGGGCCATTGCTGCTCAAAGTTGAGGCAATCATATAAGATAGGTGAACAAGCTACAAAATTGATCTCTAGATGGAAAATGGAATCTGTCATTGTAAGTAATTAAAGTCCAAGATGTAAATTGTACATCATATTTTTCCACCCATAGTCACACAGGTCAGAGTTTTGCAACAATTTGTGAAACTTCTTAGTGTATTTGAAAAGTATAATGAAAACCAGAGACGCTCTCACAAGTTCATGTAGGTCAAAATCAGGTCATCAGCAATTGTTTCACGAAAATAATCCAAATACAAACTTTGAGATGATTGAGCATGTTCAATTACCATCACGATCTTCCAAACTATCATAAACTTCTGAAAGTAGGTTAAGGTGGCGAAAGAATTCCTCTGTGAAGTCTTTACGCCTCCGTGCAACTAATGCATTAACGTCAGTTGGATTGTCTTGTATCTCCTTCAGAAGTTCACTGTGCCTTTCCATTTCATCATCAATCTGCAATGCTCACTCCTGATCAAACATAACCAAAAGGACCTCTAAACACAAACAAGCATATGTTTACAAGAATCTTTACCCTTTCTTTCAGATGTTTGGTAAATAGTAGAAAAAAGGGGAATTGAGTGTTTAATCTCATTAAGTTCCATTACTTGGGACCTGGAAAACTAAAACCACTGCTAAATCAAAAACAATACTTATCTAATTTGGGGTCTCCAAGGTAACAAAAGGCATAGCTTCAAAAAATTTGTTCTTCTTTTAGTTCCCTACTTATAACAGAAACAAAGAAATATCAATATAACTAAAAGAACACGATAGAGACATTTACATACCTTCTTCACCTTTCTCCCCAAAGAGGTAAACTTTTCTTTCATAGTTGGATCACCCTCCATATCTGCCCGTGTCCTACACCGGTTATAAAAGCTTTCCCTATATTTTTCCCAATCCTCCCTAAATACCAAAAGCTTCCTCCATTCCTTTGCCCTGGGCTTCTCATTCATGAAAACATCAATTATCTTATCACAAAATTGAGTCATGGTGTAACCCTCAGCAACTTCAACCTCTACTTGCTCTGCCACTTGGGCAGTGGCTATGTTACTTGCTTGAGGACCTGAAAATAGATTCCCATTTTTAAATTCTAAACAAACCCAAAATAACAAACAACATATTCTAACCATTACCATTGTTCAATTGCCTATAGGGGAAAATGAAAAGGGTAAACCAACAAATTAAAATGCTGATCTTGAGCTTTTTTTTGGGTTTTAAAAAACTTTAAAAACCCACCACAACCAGCTAAATTTAGTGGCAAATGTAAATAGAGGTTCTTACTCTCTCATTTCTTTCTTTCTTTCTTCTTCAACAACCAAAGTAAGCTCAGAAAAGAAAGATAGGCTAGGCAGTACTGAAAAAAAATGAACGAAGGTGATAAAGTACTTACTGGTTGTGGGGCTTGACTGGGCTGCCCTTGTCTTTCTTCTGTGCTTGGACTTAAGAGAGGCAAAGGATATGGGTGGTATTAGAAGGGTTGTTGTGGGCAGATTTTCGTTGAGTCGGAAGAAAGTTGTGGCGTCGAAGAAGATGGCGGGCTTGGTTATGGAGTTTGAGAGCTCTAATGCCATGAAATTGCTCATGGTGTTCCCTCGCTGCTGAGCGCTTTGGAGCAGAGAAGAAGTGGATGAGTGTAGCAGCAGTTACTGATAAGATTAAAGTGATAATTAGTGAAAGCTTGATACAGAGATCCCGTGTTGAGTAGATACACAGAAACCACTTCGGCGTCGTTTTGACTCACTTATGCCACCAGCGTAATTTATAATTAAGGGTTAACGACAAAAAACACCCTGCAGGTTTGTAGTGGTTCTCAATATAGATCCCAATGTATCAATTTTATCAATTTACAACCTTATCTTTACAACATCGTCCAATTTCATCCTTCTGTTAAGTTGACCGTGTGGTCATTCGTTAAATGCTGATGTGTCTACTATGGGACCCATCTAATAACCCAAAAAATTTATATAAAATAATAAAATAACATAAATTTTAAAATAATCAACTTAAAAAATCCCAACCCTTCTAGATCCATATCGTCATCCACACCCTCATCTTCCTCTAATTCCTCCTTTTTCTATCTTCTACTCGTGTTGGTTCTTCTGCAAGGCCTCAAAATCACCAACATAATTATACCCAGCAGAGGCTGCTGGGTCGCTCGCATAGCCATACTTGTGAAAAGTATTGCACTGCTCATCGAAGATGAAAGGTTCAATAAAGGCGTCCTTAACGAAGTTGAGCTTGTGGTTGCGCATGCCCTGGCGATGCCGTCCTTGGTGTAGGGATAAGATGGGCCGTAGATTGGGGCCCATAGTTGGTCGTAGGTGGAGTTGAAGCCGACGATGTGTTGGGTTGGGTCAATTGGCCGACTCAAAGACCGTTGGCCAGCAACCACCTTCAGGGCCAGCATCGTGTCGTCGACATTGGGCACCGCAGACTTGGCGAGGAGGAGCCAAGGCGGTGAAGTGTATAGGGACAATGTTGTTGAACTAGGGTTTTGGTTTTGCTGCTCTGGCTCGTTCAATTTTTCGTCGTTTTGATCAGAGTAGGCTCGGAGAAGATCCATTCATATAAAAAAGGGATAACCCTAAACCCCCAAATTTGGTCCTTGTGTTGAAAATTTGAGACTTTATTCATGAATTCGAAAGGCAAGCACCAGAGGGTGTGGATGACGATATGGATCCACAGTAGACACGTCAGCATCTAACGATTGACCACACTATCAACTTAACGGAATGATGAAATTGGACAATGTTACAAACGTAAGGGTGTAAATTGATAAAATTGATACTCTCGGGTCCATATTGAGAACCACTCCAAATGTCTTTTGTCATTAGCCCTATAATTAAAATTCTATAGGAAATTTGCATAAATGCGACTTTCAATTTGTACTATTAACCACCTAAACTTTGCAAAGTGCAGTAATTTACCTTCTATTATAACTCCGTTAAAAATTTCCGTTAAATAAAGTCACAATGTTGAACCTATGATATTTTTGAAAGCACATTTTCAGCTTTTACATGTTTTGATTGTTCAACTAAATTTCTCTAGAAAAGCTTATGTGCATATCTTTGAGATAAGTCATCAAGTGTTCCATGTTTACTTGGTGATTTATCAAATACTTTCATAATTCATATTGCATTCATTTGCATGTTCAGTGACTCATACGGTTGATGGCACCAAGACCGTAGTGGTGGTTTTCCTCCGGCGAGCTTGAAGCAATCGTGACCAGTATTGCGTTTAACATAAGGAATGTTGAAGATCATCTCGTGACAGAAGTTGAGCTACGAATAAGTCGGTAAACGTTATCTAGAATGTGTCTAGGATAAGTGTGTGCGTACTTCGTGTAATTATCGTTATATAGTGGATTTATGTTGGATTGAGAAGTCCCGTGGATTTTCCCTAGAGGTGGGGTTTTACCACGTAAAATAATTCTCTGAGTGTTCATTTATTTTATGCTCAGCACGTTTCAAGATTGATAAGCCATATCAATCCTGCTACTAAAGTTTATTTTTTGTTTATTAATTATAATCTTAAATTGTCCTATTCATCACCCTCTAGGCATTCTTAATCATCTCCTACTTGTACCGCACCTATTTGGTGATTGGTACTGCGCCCTTCTTTGTACTACAAGCACCTCTAATTTGTGTCGTACACGGAAAAACAGGAGAAAGATACAGAGCAAGGTTAGCATGCACACAGCCAGTCTCGCCTTGTATAAACAAAACAAAACAAAAAAAGTTGCACACGCATGGCGTGATGGGCATATTTTGCATGCGTTTTCTATTTGTCTGTTTCTAAATTGGAAATTACGCTTAGTTCTAGCAGCCATAACTCCCATGTCTTTTTAGGTCATTCATTTTGCCTTCTCATCACCTTCTAACATAAGCGAGAAGAAAGCTGGCCCGCTGTTGTTGGGAAGTGAAATTACATAATTGTACATAGGGACTAAATTAGTATATATTATTATTATTTTGATATTTAGGAATTATTTATGTTGTCGGTTTCTGATATATATATATATACACACTGTACACACGTATGTTGGTTGGCCCAACCCGAATTTAGATTAAGGACTTGTGGTTGAAGGTTGGCTACCTAAAAATTAATCATTAGCTAAGAGATATGCATAAGATGTTGAGATGTTGAGATGTATGCTCACTTACTGTTATTCCTAACCATTTCTTTAATTACTAATCTCTGCAAAATGCTTCTTGCTTAATTTAATAATTTTTAATCAACGGAGGCTAGCTTAGTGGAAAAATGTATTGACTTGCAAATCAGTAGTCTTATGTTTAAACCTTAATAATGTGTGTATGTGAGCAACCATTTTTCCCTTATAATTTAGACTTTTTATTTTAAAAAAATACACTATCAAACACTTGTTGAATGACCCTTTCCATCTTTATAAGGTTTCTAAAAATCCACAAGAACCTAAGTTGGAAAAAAATTGAAGCTCGAGAGCTTGTTCTAAATTTCTACACTTCAATTAACATTTAAAGGATTAGAATAATATACAATCAATGCGATTTATTATTTGCAAACGTGAGTATAGATTAGTTGAATAGGATAGTAGGTATGGGGGCGGATCTATTAAGGCGCAAGAAGGTGCAACTGCACCTCCCTTCGCTAGAAAAACCATTGTAGGTATTTCAAATTGCCCCTTTGCTCAACTGGTGTACTGATATTTATTTTTATATTACTCCATTTACTTAAGTTTACAATGTAAATAAGGAAGTACCCCCCATTTGGATTCAAATAAAAATACTAGAAAATCAAATTCCCACCAAATAAAAATATGAAAATTCGATTTTAGTGCAAAATACGATTTAGGCTAAAAATGATGGCTCATTAAGTCAATATATACTTCATACTAAAATCTCATAAAATCAAGTTTTCTTATTTGATGTATAAGGAATAAAAGCCGCCAAAAATTATCTTGAAAAAATGATTATTCCGAAAAACCATTTTCATACTTAGTTAATATTACACCTCCGCTAAAAATTTCTGGATCCGCCACCCGTACTCGAATTGAAATCTCTTATCCCATAAAAATGATTTTTTTTTCTTTTTTGAATGTCACTTGTTCGTTCTTTTTTCTGAATGATATTTAAACAACTTAATTTTATTCGAAAAGGTCCCATATTGAAATCTTGTGCACGAGTCGTTGTTTAATAAATAAATAAAATGGCCTCTAAATGACCTTATGCATTAACTTGTTCATATGAGATGAATAATAATTAGGAAGATTTACTATTGTACCCAATATAATGGCCTAAATTATTAAAAATCACTATATGAAATGGACTTTAGAAACACACATATAATCTATTTACAACATAATAAAGAGGCTTTTAACTTTTTATAAATTACAAAACTATCTCGATTTCCTAAAACAAGCTCAATCCCAAAACCTCATTAAAAGAATCCAAAACACTCAATAGGGCATCAAAGTAATTTAATAATTAAAATTAAATTCAATAAGACCAGCAGTTATTTTTTGGGTTTTTCTTTAGTTTGTTTATAGAAATTAAATGGTATAGTATTTATCTATGAATAATAATAGTCTTACCACATTTTTTATACCACATTTTTATACCACATGATGTGGCAACTGATGTATACATATCACATCATATAAAATACTAGTTTCTATTTTTCTAATTTTATTTATTAAAATACACTTCGTTCATTTAATTGATGTGACATATGATATGGACATGCCACATCATGTGGTATAGAAATGTGGGATAAAAATATGGTAAGTGTAGCATTACTCGTTTATCTATATCATTAGTGCTAAGAATGGGTATGTGACTAAATATCTCAAAGTAAAAGGGCAAGTAGAGAAAATATTATTTAGCTGGTAATGATCTGAAACATAAAGGGTATTTCTGTCATTTAAAAATAACTTGTACTGTGGATAGGACGATCCTCCGTGTACTTTTCAAATTCCTTACTATAAATATCTGATTGAAAATCTCTATTTTGTAGTAAATTGTAATCAGAAGAAAAAAGCTGAAGAAGCTTCTTCAAATCAGTCTTCAAATTGCGCGTAACAAATCTCCGGTGGCGAAGTCAACTTTCCGGCGAACTGGTCAAACTTAGGCTTCCAATCCTTTCTGGTAATTCGAATTGACATTTGATGTTTTGAAGCTCTCTCTATTTGTTTTCGAAGCTTTTTTTTATTGTTTGTTTGATTTCTCCTATCGGCGGTGATTTTCGTGTTAATTACTAAGTGAATAAACAAAAAATGGAAAATTGAGATTCTTCGCAAGCTTGTGTGCATGAATTTTATGCTTGCTCTTTACTGTGGTTATGCGTTGACTCTGTGTTATTTGCTTTTGAATTTCAAGAATCTTGAAGCTTTCTATTTCTATTAGATTGATGATGAGAAATGGAAACTACAATTATGAAGGTACTGAAATTTGGTGTTCCTTTTGTTAGAGAAACTGAGAGATGGAGAAGGAACAAGAGGTTGAGTGGATCAAAGCTCAGAACATTGGCATAAGCATAGACCTTGTGGCTGCAGCCCAAAAGCAGCTTCTGTTTCTTGCTGCTGTAGATAGAAATCGGTTTCTATATGAAGGGCCTGCTCTTGGAAGGGCAATCTATAGGTACACATCCTGTAGATTTGGTTCAGTTCTTCAGTTTTTGGGTGCATTAGATTCTTGTGCAGTACCAGTACCAGATCACATGTTTTGTTTTTCATTTTTAATATTTTAATATTGTTTTCTGGTTTCCCATTGTTTTCAATTCTGGTTGTTCTATTGTGGTGGAGTAAGGAGTATGTTTTTGTTTTTTTTTGGATAGCTAATCGGGTTTGTTTTATAGTCTCATAAAATGATAATCTATTTGTGTTTTCAATTGGATTTTCATTGTGGCATTTGATCTTTACACTTCATGTTCCAAAAATTCTATTTTCAGGTATAATGCTTGTTGGCTTCCGATGCTTGCCAAACATTCTGAGTTCCAAATTTCTGAAGGACCTTTGGTTGTACCTCTTGATTGTGAATGGATTTGGCATTGTCACAGACTAAATCCAGTAGGCTTCTCTGAACTCTTATAGTCCTGGTTATCTTTGTTTGATGACTTGAATTGCTAAGCTTAGTGTCTTTGGTTTGTTATTCAGGTTCAATACAAGACTGACTGTGAGAAACTTTATGGAAAGATCCTTGACAATTCTAATGTGTTATCCTCGGTTCAAGGCTCTTGTAAAGGGCAAACTGAAGAAATTTGGAATAGTATGTATCCAGAAGAACCCTACAACTTAGACTTAAATAAGGCATTGTCAGAGGATATATCTGAACGGATTTCTGGACTTGAAAAATGCACCAAATATGATCTGATTTCAGCTGTTAAAAGACAGAGTCCTTTCTTTTACCAGGTAATATGAGATTGCAGCTAATACATTGGATAGAATACGTGTGTTGAGTTATCAAGTGTTAACAGTAATATGTCTTGGAATGAAGTGCTTATATGGTTCCATATTATCGGTATAAAAGGAACTATCATTTGGAGTACTTTTAGATTGGAACACATTCTTAGAGTCTTATTTGGTGTTGT